GCTCCTGCTGTCCTGTGAGGAACTGAGCCCCTGCCTCTGGAGAGGCTCAGAGGTGGGACCCTGGCACTTCCATTCCCCTTTCTTTCTTAACCTCCACGTACAGAGCAGTCATTTTTCTCTTTGCAAACCTGAACTATACTTCCCAATGGTTGGCTCCGCTTGGCATTTCTGACCTGTCTCTCCCCAGACAGACCACGGATGGGTTTGTCTTCTGAAAGCAGGGCTAGTGTGCCTCCTTTTTGGGCGAGTCCTTTCTCGTGCTGCTGGGGCCGCTTTAAGACCGCAGGACTTTGTCTTCCAAGCGTAGCCGGATCAGAGGCTCCCCAGCGCGCCTCCACAGCCCAGAGGGAGGGCCGCCTGCGCTGCTCCTGTTCCTGCAGCCTTCCTGCAGAACAGACAGAACCTCCTCTGCCGATCTTGAGGTCAAGAACTGGGAGGAAGAAAGTACTTTTATTTAAACATGTTCTCCTTCTCGCCCAGAGGCCTGAGGCATCATTCTTGGGGTTGTGCCTTGGCCTCATTCTGGCCGGCTTGCCAAGCCAGCTCCTTGCCACCAACCCTGTGCACGCAGCGGGCGGGCTCCTGAGACTTCGGGGCAAGGGGCCTTCCCAGGATCTCCTTTCTGCTCTCTGTTCTCTGGCTGTCCTTCCATATTCCTGAATCCTGCTTTCATGTTGCTTCTTGAAGGACTATTTGGATGAACCATCTCTTAAATTCCTCTTCCTGCAATTGCCCCCCCCAATCCTATCGTTTGCTGCCTTCATTCGTCCCACCTTTCCAGGACCTTTCTTCTCTCCCCATCCCCCATATTGTCACTTCTCACTCTGAGGGTCTTAAAATGCCTTTGGTCCAGAGGTAACAAATATGAATGGATGACGGTAACTTCTAGCTAAGAATTTTATTTTTCAAGTAGTGGGGAGGTATGTTCCCTAGTGGCCGTAGTGTTTTCCCTTCATCTTTGTTCTTGTAAGAGACTCCTTGAAGCAACATATATTAAAGCCTGTTAGAAGATTATTGGACTAGTTCACCCAGCAAAACTCAAATGCCCTTTATAGCAGCTAATATTAAGAGAAAAACCACAGGCCCAAAATGGCGGTGTTGTGCTAAAGCCCACAATAGCAAACCCAGACTTAATACCTGACCTAACTGTTGCTTCAACCTCTCCCAGAAACATAATTTTAATTAACCAGTCTGGAATTTTCTGGTTAAGCACAAGTAAGGTAGTCAGTCACACAGGCCCCCTCCATTCCTGTAGGAAGAGGAGGCAATCTGCATGCTAAAAACCCCTGTAGTTTTCTTCCCCCCCAAATGTGTCCTGGCCTAAAAATAATCCTTTTTTTCTTTGGTTAATAGCTCTCTTTTCCCATCCTTTATCCTATAGAAACCTTCCATTTTGTACAACTCCTTGGATAGGCCTTGTAGTTGCTAGATGAGATGCTGCCTGATTCATGAATTGCTTAATAAAGCCAATTAGATCTGCAAATATACGCTAAATTTTTTTCTTTAATATTAATTTCAGCTCAGGTGATGAGTAGCAGCTATTTGTGCATTCCTTTATTTTAAGTAATATAATATCAAATTATTTTTAATTGTACAATTTTATATTGTGTTCAAGCTTGAAAGTTGGTTCAAATACTTTCGAATATAATCAAGTGATGCATTTTTAAAAAAATATATCTTTATTGATTTCAGAGAGAGGAAAGGAGGGGGAGAGAGAGATAGAAACATCAGTGATGAGAGAGAGTCATTGATTGGCTGCTTAGCTGGCAACCCGGGCATGTGCCCTGACCGGGAATCGAACCCCGATCTCCTGGATCCTAGGTCGGTGCTCAACCGCTGAGCCATGCCCGGCTGGGCCAAGTGATGCATTTTTGAATAAACGAAAGGAAAAAATAAGTACATTTCTTAACGTGATTGCTATTGTTATTTAATTCGACACTAGTTATACTAACTCCTGGTTCTGAACCAAGTCGAATGCCTCCGTAAGTCAATGAGTGGCTTTATACTCACACCATACACGGCAGGGAAGGAGAGGGGCATCAAAGCTCAGACTAGAAGGGCCGCTTGCGAGTAGAGTGGGGAATGATAAGAAATTAGTGGTGTGAGAGAATGAAAGATAGAGATGCAAACAGATAATGGAGAGCTTCAGTCCCACTCTCTAAGGCCTCACTGACTCCTGACTCCTGACTGAACGGGATTGGGACTTACACGAGAACCATGCTGCATGTGTGTAGTTTGAACAAGTGCGCCTAAGTAACTATGAAACTTTATGCTTTAATCTTCAGTGAGGATTCAGTTTATTAAAAATTGTTTTACTGCCTTATAAAAACCTCAACATATATTTATAGAAATCATTTGAAAGGATATACACAAACACCATGGTGGTGGGATTATTTTATATACCTGGCTTGTTTATATTTTTGAATGTTACCAGTTAAACAAGAGTTATTTATGTAATATATTTATGAATACTTTGATGTACTATGCTGACAATTTGGGACGTTACCCTGCTTTGTTTTCATAGCTGGACTATACTGTAACAGAGGATGGAGACTTCATATGGTGAAGGAAAAAAGTGGTTAGGATCTTGAGAAGGAAAGTCCAATAAGGGGAGACACCCCCAGAGAGGAAGAACATATAGCTCCCTCAAAATGCACCCTGCAGAACGGGTTGACCGTGTGGGTCCTAGGGGCTGCTAACTTAGGAGATCACTGTGGAGGGAGTGCCTCTGATGGATCGGGAAGACTGGCAGCTTTAGCAATGGCAATGAAATCACTAGGCGTAGAATAGCAGGGCTTGCTCTTGTCCCCCCTCCCTGCTCCCCCATAAGAACTGACTTTGGACTTCTCATTCACTTTGAGTTAGGTTCCTATGCTGAATTAAATTTGGTTTAGAAAAATAAAGGAAAGCATTATTTATTTTTACTTCTTACCTGATGTAAGAGACATCATGGAAATTAATTAAAAAGTTAAAAGTAAACAAAAAAAATCTAGGCTAAAATAACTTATTTAGTATTACTGGAGATAGATATCAATCAAGGTAGCATGTAAAGAGTAGGTGTAACAGTAAAGTATATTTTTGTTTAGAGTGAGGCTGGAAGGAGACCTAAATATGACTGGGTAGGCTGCACCTTCCTGATGTTGATTTCAAAGGGCCATACTTATTTGTATATTTATGTGTTGGTTATAAAATCCAATGGCATTATTTCATCCGATCCTTTGTCCTTCATATAATATGGATGCTCATATATCAATTAATTCAATGAAAAGATTTTGTTATTGATTTCCAGGTGATGAATTATATAAGTGAAATGTCTACTATCATTGAGGAACAGTAATAGTTGGTGCAGGTGCTGCATGGCTTTGGAACTGGGATGTAGCATCTGAAGATAAACATTAGTACAGAGTCTAATATGACTTTGAGGTAATCTCTGTCATATTTCGATAGTCTCTACTGACTTCTCCTCAAGGATTCATGAAAGTAAAGAATTCAGCTCTGCAAAGCCACTGCAATATTGACTCACTCATCCTGTGCCTAGTAGCACACAGGAGGTTTAAGGGTATGTGCTTTATCAGGATAGACCTCTTTTAAAATGAAAGAATAATCCTTCCTCTTGTTCAGATATGATGCCAGTGGACCCATCTGAAAAAAATTAGAGAAGCTGCATTGTTTCTTAACTCTATATTGCCTTATTTTTCCAGAACCAGCTCTCTTGCCTCCGAGGTATGAGACACTGCTTTGAATAAGTGTGATTAATGGTTCCTTCTAACTCTGACTATATGATTCCATTATGCTTTATTTAACTGATGAAATATGGCTTATTCTTCTTATTTACTTTTACTGTATATATATACACACATACATATATATATATACACATACATATATATATATGTATATATATATATTCCCTAAGAATAATTTCTATACATTAAAAGTTTATTATGTGTATGCCATTGTTCTAAGCCCAACATGGATTTTCTTGTTTATTTATCATAATGGCCATAGTGGATGTGGAAGACATTTTTCTCTCTATTTTAAATACGACGCATAAAGAAATTGGGCAACTTGTCCAAAGTTAAATAGTAAAGTGGTGCCTAGACTGGGGCCCATTTCTATTTTGCTCCAAAAATCAAATTTTAAATACTATACTCTCTTTGCAGGGACCCAATCCCTAGTAACCACACAGTCACCCTGAATCACTGCATTCCATTTTTAATCCTTTGAATAGAACTTAGAACTTTCTAGTTTTGTTGCTGTTATTGTTTATTGTTTAATGACTCCTCACTTCTACCTCCTCTGCTAGAATGTAAACCTAGGAGCAGAAACCTGTTATTCACTCTGTGCTACAAAACAGCACATAGAACAGTGCCTGGCATGGTGTAGGCACCCAACAAATGTGTGTTGAATAAATGGAACCAACTGACAAGGCACTGATTTCCTGCCTTCTCGTTGCTCCCAGGCTAAGCAAATACAGGCTTGTATGGGAAGTTAAGAAAGGACATGGAAAGTGCCATAACAGAATTTGGAAGACTGCCAAGAGAGTCCTGGCACCTTCACTGGTTAGCTGTTGTTTGCTGTGGGTATGATGGAGACAAGGGCCTGAAGAGAGCATGAAGGATGGATAAAATCTCAGAAGCAAGTAGTCAGAGTTTGTGTAGAAAAGGAAGTCAACCTGTGTATCTCCCTGTGAAGAAGCACATCTACCCAGCCTGGAGATTTCTCCTGAAGATTTCCCAAGCATTCCGAACTGACCATTTGCAGAGCCTTTAGAATTTTTTATTTACCTCTCAGTGTCCCCCGTGGGCTATGATGTCTGGTACAAGGAACCAAGGTGATCTGATGGTGAGTTCCTTTCAGGCAGGGACTCTGGCTTCTTTATCTTGGTCTTCTCATAGATTAGCATGGTGTTGGTAGTTGGTGGCCCTCAGTACATAGATCATGTATAGTAAATGTATAATGGATCAATGGTTAATAAATGAATTGATGAGTGAATGACATGGCTTAATAGCAGTTTATTTAGAAAGATTTTTGAATTTAAGTTGACAACAAGCAGCAACAATAGTGAATGTGGTCTTAGGTAGCAGTAATAAAAGTATAGTGCCTGGGTTTGAATATCTAGAATCTTGGAGTTACAGGGATAGAAGTGATGAGAATACCTGCGAGGTGAAATGATTTGCTCATGGTTCCATAGCAAATCTATGGTCAAAGTAGGACTTGAATTTAAAGATCATGGCTCTCAGTTAAATTTGCTTTCTACAAGTTTGACTATATTCTGTGCTGGTCAGATCACAACTGTGGTAATCTATGCAATTCTGATCTCTACACTTAAAGAAATATAGTGACAAAGTAGAGTTTTTCCAAGGAATGATGATGCAGAGGCTAGGGGGATGTGGAAACCATATCACATTATCAGATGAGGACATTAAGGATATTTCATCTGAAGAAGAAAATATTTAAAAAGGGGCTGTGGGGGGAGTGGAAAAACATGGTATCTGTCCTAATGCTTTTAAATACATGACTCATTATTCTTTTGTTCCAGAGAGGAGAAAATAGGAGCCATGGGTAGAAACCATAGAGAAATAAATTTCAACTCAATATGAGAATAATTGCTCTCAAAATTAGAATTGTCCAAGAATGGAATTCGAAATTACAAGAAATATGCAAACAGAGGCTAGATGATTATCTAACTGGGCTAGATGGTGAGTTTCTCTATAGTAGAGATCATGTTTCATTTGTATTTCCCTAGGACCTTGAATGGTGCCTGGCATATAGTATATGCTCACTTAATATTTGTTATTGCATTTTTAAAAAGAGATTCTTTCATGAAGTGTGTAGGCATGGAGGTGACCAGGACTGCACTATATTATTAACTCCAAAGACTTTTTTAACACTTAGGTTTATGATGCTTTGATAAAAATTCATGCAAATAATGTACCAATACTTAACAAAGCATACAAAAGTCAGTGAAATCATTGTTTTTTTTAACATCTGTAAGGCCTGTGCTGTTGCATTTGTGCTCTTCCTTTAAAATTTTAGGAGAAGGGTTTGTTTGCCACAACTCCTGTCTTATAAAGGAGATCAGGGATAGTTACATTTCTGCACCTGTTAACCAAACCAAAACTCCATGCAGAAGTTTAAATGGAATTTGTTTTGTACAAGAGACATAGGACTGATTTATGGAAACCCCAAATGATGGTTATGCCAGTAGATTCACACTTTTCAAAATGATGACTAACCTAGAGAAACAGGTTTTTCACAGAGTCCTGAGTCCTATTTAGATTGTCACTTTTAAGTATCTTAAATATCACTTAAGGAACCTTATTTTTCACTGAATATTTTATATTCAGAATGTGTTGATTTGATACTTCTCTTTTTTTTTTTAACATAGGAGTGTCACTCCTTTTAGCCCATACAAAGGTAATTTGAAGGACACAAAGAAAACTTTATTTAGATTTAGTAAATTAGCCACAGAAAGCTATTTGTTCCTTTGAGAATTTAATTAGTTAACCTTTTCCCAAACGAAGTGGTCCAACCTATTCGTATGCTCAAAAAACCATCCACTCCCCACTAAGCTCTTTCAGATGCCACTGGATTCATTTCTTCTTATCTCATCATATAAATATGCTTAAACCATATTTCTCTGTTTTATAAAGTACATCATCATCTTAGTTCCATCTCAAATAATGGTGCTGCATTAATCGTAAAGCTGTTTATGAGGTGTTTGGTTGTGATTCCAATTTCTTTTTCAAGAACTCTAGACCATAAATATAGCAAAGTGCTTCAAAGAATTCATGATTTTGATTTTCACGTTAATGATGTTATTAAAACTTCGCCGCAGCTGATAATTCCACTCACCTAAATGGAACAGGTTTTGTGATTGGTGTGTTCCTAATATGTGACTTGCTCAGGACCCTTCGGATACAGGCACTTAACTGGGAGATTCTGAGATGCTTCGCAAATAAAAACCAATATCTCCTTTCCCTCTCCGTTATGAGTTATAAAACACGTTCCCTTCCCTTCTTCTTTGATTTAATTTATATGCCAGAGATTTTTCTGCTCTGGGGATGAGAATGGAGGGCCAGGGAAGAAAGCTGATAAAATAGAGATGATTCAAAGATCTGAACTCTTTTATCCTCATTTGACAGAAAATAAATGATTTTTTCTCTTTGCCAATAACCGTCATTTCCCTTGATCTTGGAGTCACTCAGAACCTAGCCAGTGAGTCCTGTATAAACCAATGCTCTGTCTCAAGGTGTAGAGAAAGAGGAAATACTGGTAACCGTACAGGCTGTGCCAGCTTGATTACATTTACAGTTATGAGATACCGCAAATTTAAGAATGCCATTTGTTTCTCAGCACTGAGTATTTATTATATATAACAAATACATGGGAAAGAAAAAACTATATTGTGTGATATAAATAGTTTATTTACATTACAGAAAAAACATCAAGACAATGTATACTATTTCAAATATATCCATACATAATCAAATATAGCTGTAGGACATGTTCTCATTGGTGTAGATTACCACAAACGCAAGGCAACGTGTGTCGGTCTCGTCTCGCCCTCGCCTGGAATGCTGTGCTGCGCAGCCCACGCGCTCGGCAGCCCCGTGCAGCAGGGCCCTTCAGATTAACCTCGTGGACGCCCGTGTTGTGTTGTCGGAACTGTAGTGCCCTGTGTTTTGCTTCTGCCTGTGAATTCTGTTGCTTCTGGGGCATTTCCTAGAAGGTTGAAAAGTTTACAGACCTCAGCCCAGTGCTTATCACCTGTAAAGTTTGCTCCTACAATCAGAGTGAAGCTACGGGTTAAGCAAGTTATGAAAACAGTTGGGATGAAAGAACCTATAGCAGAATAGTGAAGCTGCAGTCGCCGCTCAGGGTCTGTGGAGGAGAACTGGAGAACAGAGGCGGAAGCTGAAGGGGAAAACGTTGCCGAGCCTTCAACCGCTCACTCGTTAAAGCACAAAGAAAGACTACGCGCACGCAGTCCAGCAAACTGTGAGCCCACCTAATCTCACTTTAAAGGTCGTCGACAATGTTATACTTTACATGTCCTAAGGATGAATGTTATAGGGACATTTTAATGCTACAAGTTTAAATCCCATCAAACCAGAGAATGAGCCGACTGTAATGGAAAGAGAGATTATTTTGCTTCAGCCTAATATCATTTTTTGTGTCAACAATATAAGCTAAGGACATAAATTGGTACTAATTATTTAGCTTCTATAAAAAGCTAACATTCAGTCAAATTATCTGAAAAGCCCTGATCTAGTATGTCTTGTCTTGTAATAAAAGAAAGCTTTGATGATGCAAATGAGAACAACATAAAGTTCATAAAAATCCTATCATAATAAGCTGTGGGGTATCAGAGAATATATAAATAAAAAATATATATTTGGGGTTTTTTTGGGGGGAGAGTGTAGATCTATAAAAACGAACATGGAGCTGGAGATCACATTTTAGCAAATGGGAGCTAGAGATAAAAAGATTGAAAATCCATCTTCTCAACAGGGCAATTCTTTTCATGTCTCTAGATGTTTTTATTTTTTTATAATACATGTTGTATTTAGGAGGAGGGCAGGTGCTTGACTAAAATAGTAAAAACAAGAGGAAGAAATGAGAAAAAAAGAAGTGGGATGAAGAGAAAAGGAAGAAAAGAGAAGTAGAAAACAGGAGAGTCCAAGTGATGAAGAGATTTTTTAAAAAATTGAAAAGAAAGAAGGGATCTCTGCTTGTTCCAACTTTTAAAATCTTTTAGCAACTGGGTATTTTAGAATAGATGTTGACAGACACATGTGTCCAGGTCACCAAAAAGGGAGGATTTGGGTAGGGGTGGGGGGATAGCCTAGTTGGAAAATCCGGTTTTTGAGCAGAATATTTTCAAGGGATTGAAATGAATCCACACTGGGAACAAGGTCGTTTAGCGACCAGTCCGACTCCTGGAAAGACTCTGGCTTGGGCATCCTGAGCCGGATTGATACGGTGCATTACAATAATGCTAATCGAGTTCCTGGGCTGCTTCTCTTCTTCAAAACTGAACAGAAGCTAAGCTCTTTTTTGTTTTGTTTTAACACAGATAATGATAAAGGCCACCTGCCTTGAAAATTCAGCTCGCTCTGATCTGGAGCTCCGTGGAGGCCGCCTTGACTCTCAGAACACAGAGCGTCAGGACCAGCCCGGGGCGGAGTGAGCAGTGGTGAGCGCGCACGCAGGCTCTGACACCAGGCAGCACCCCCTGCCGCCCTGTCGCTCAGCTCTGCACACTCAGCAAACTGCTCACTTCTCACAACTCAGACTCACTATCTTGAAAATGGGGAAAATTGTTCCTTCTTCATCATGCTATTAAATGTGTGTGTGTGTGTACACATATACACACATAATATATACACACACAATTCTTGGTGGGGTAAGGATCCTACCTATTCCAGTTGTTTTTATTGTGTATGGGAATGTAATTGTGATTAAAAACAGACTTATAAACATCTGCTAAAGTATTTAAAGTTTTGAATTTTTGTCAGTTCATGAAGTAACAAATTCAATTGTTATTAGATTAGATCTACTAAATATAAATTTTGTTTTTCATATCCTGATATTGATTAGATATTAGAAGTTCAAGACCCTTAGTAATATGGCACAGTTTCCTGTGTTTTAGATTCTTTTCTGTCTTTTCTACTCAGTGTTTTTGGTTTCTTCAGTCATCTTATTTTCCTCAGAATCTATTTTAATATAATCCATTGACTCACTTGGCATCTAAACGTGTGAGTTGAGTTGATGAACTCGACTTGGCTTAGAGCAGCACAAAGCCCCAGTCGACGATCTTGCCTTAAGCCTTTAGGCCGGGCAAGGATTTATGAACCGTATTTTGTCTTTTTCAAGAGCAAATGCTATACTTGTCCTCAAAGAAGATAGTGCAATGCAGAGACTGAGATGTATTATGGCCTCTATTTTCTAAAGATATGATACTGTCTTTTATTTTCTTCCCTTTTGAAAATAATTTCTGGGGAAACATTCTGATTTACAGTAGAGCTGTGCAAACAAATGAAAGTCTAAATGCCTTGTGAATTTGGAAAAACCTTGAAGACTTCCTTGGAACTTTTTTTTCTCAAGGAGAGTGAAAACATCAGAAAGAAGTATCTTCAATAATGTTTCTGATTAGACAGGACATAACAATATGCATTTGATTTAGAATCTAATTCTTGGTTACAATGAATTTACATGCTAATAAAGTCACTCCTTTACTCCAAGCCCAATAGACACCACTAATTAATCATGGTTCTCTTTCCTGTTGAAACTGGATGAAATCTTTGTATCTCTCCCAACCTAGCTCTCTGGGAAACAATTACCATTTGATTGCTTTGGGGGTTTAGATATTTGCTACATGTTTCCATAAAGCAAAAGTTTTAATGTACTATAACATGATTTTTCTCATAACTATTTTCTTTGAATTTTGTGAGTAAAAGCTTTTTTGTTAACTTAAGATAAAAATGTATTTGTTGTTTATATTAAGTATGTTAAAAATGATTACGTCTAGGAGTTACATTTGAAAATATAAGTGCTATAAATGAGAGGTATAATTTAATACTTTTCTAGGCTTTGTTTACAATCTATTCTGACCCCATTCAGCACACTGATATGGATAAGTAAGGAAACACTGGTCATTTAAATAGTCTGTTAACAGTTTAAGTGAAGACTGACCTTTTCTAGTTGAAAGAGAAGAGTATATTTAAACAAAGACTGGCATTACACATTAGACGAAAGAAAGACCTTTGCTTAGAAAATAAATAATCCTCATCATAATGCAAAAATAAGAAAAATAACTGGTACTACATGAGCATGAAAATCAATGCCTTTCCATTTGGCTATTCAAATGCTGTTTTGATGAAGAAATAGGACCCCAGAGAATGGATGTTTGCAGAGTCCATGAAGGGATTCTAATTAGAGTGATCTGATTTAGAAAAGGAAGAACAATACATCCCTGAGTACAGCTACCGACCTTGTGATGCAGAGGACCACCACGCAGATGACCGCGATCTGAATCGTTCCGATCACAGCGGCAATTAAGACGTACTGAAATCGCACAGGGCCGGGAACAACATACAGCACACTGTAGTCCTTCTTTTCACAGTGTTGTCCCGTATAACCAGCGTCACACCTGGGAGAAATGAGAACGTCCAGCTCCCTGAAACCGCCGGGCTCATTTTTATGGTCAGCCTGTAAGCATTTACCTTCGTCATGAAAGTAAGGCTTTTTGTTTCCTTCTCTAAAAAAATGCCACTTAGTAGATATTGGTTCTCCACTACTTATTTTCAAAAAGATCTCTTTGTGTTTTTGGTTTCAAAGATAAGTGGTTTCTTTTTATAAGTATAAAAAAAGAGTTTGATAATTGTTCTTTCTACATTTTTTTTCAGGTGAGCTTTATGTTTTACTTGACTTAGTACAGCAATACACGGCCTATTGCATTATATAACACTTGTATATTCCTCTAATAAAAATGCATTTGTGTTTTCACTCTGGCTTTACCGTCTCGGAAATAATGATGTTCTCTCCATGAATACTGAGCAGATTATATACACTTATTAACTAAATCCAGACAAGCAATTTCTTTGCGTCTCAACTGAGTTTGAATCTTTGAAGGTATAGCTTATCATCTCACTATTTAAGGTTTGTGGGTAGCAGACCCACAGAAAAGAATGTGTGCCTAGCAAAACCAAGATCGATGATATTTATTTTAAGACCTGAAGGACTGTGTAAATGGTGGCCTCCTAAAAGCAACTATGTCATCTTATGGACAGTAAGGCTTCCCCCATTCATTTGTTTGAGAAATATTTATAATTAAGCACCTGATATGTGCCAAGTGAAAGAGGATGAATAAAACAGAGAAGCCTGAGTCTTTAAGGAGCTTGTAATACCCAGAGTACAATGTAAAATTCTACCAGAAAAGTATATATAATGATGTGTTACATAGTACTTGGGTGAGTAAGGCACACACATTTCATGGTTTCCTAGTGGGTGCTTGTGTGTGTGTTTGTGTGTGTATGTGCATGTGTAGGAGGGGCAGAGAAAAGTTTGGTTGCTGATCACCCGTTCAGGAGAATTCATCCAATTCTCTATAAAAGTCCAGCATTTAGTTTCTACATATTTATTTTATACATTTCAAAAGTTAAAGAGTGGAAACCTTACCTGCAAGAGGGCTCCTGCATATTGATAGAATGTTCGCACTTCCCGTGCATGCAGAAGCCATTGTAATGTTCCGGGCAAGGTATGTGGTGTTCTCTGGCACTTTCTTCTAATTTGTTAGCATTCTCTGTGAATACACATAAAAGCAAGCACCCCCGTAAATGCTTTCTTAGCCCGGTAAGATCAACCAGTACATCAAGAAGCAAAGGTACAGTAGGTAAAAATATTTAAAAGGGCAGGAACTAAAGGCCATGTTTCAGAAGAAAGGAGAATGAAAGACAGACGTCTTTACAATTGTGTTTAGAGATGGAACTGCAAAATTACCCAGTGCTTTTCATGCTTTTATGCAATTTCCTACATCTTTAACAGCCAGTAATGTGTCTATGAGTTGTCAGACAGCCTTAATTTTTTTGTGTTGAGACTGTGCATTGATCATAAAATAATTTAAGAAGAAATAGCCTATTTTTTGAATATCAAAGCCTAGCATAATGGCCCCAAAAGAAAATTGCTGCAATACTTTGATACTTTCTCAATGTGGGCGCTTAAAAGTTAAAATATGGCCACATTCAGTTGTTAAACAGATGTTTTCCAAAACCAAATGCAAATTTCAACAAATGTATTCTTTCAGGCTTTTTTCATCTACTGTGAACATGAATTTTACTGGCACCCATACATTTTTATATTGTCAAAATAAAGCTATTGAAAGAGCAAACATTTCGTAATCACTTATGTAGATACTAACACAATACATACTGAATGCTGTAAGTGTATTGTAATGCATAATGTTTTGCCTATGTTAATTTTATGTGAAATTTAAACTTACGATAAAGAAAAAACTTGCATCTTAAAATGAACCATTTTCTCTGTCATTAACAAATTTTATTTGTTTTCTCATATTTCTATAGATATATTAAAATATTTTTCTGACTTGTTAATCCAAATACTTTGGCTTCATATTTGTAATATCATCTCTAAGCAGTCTTTCGATTATTTATATGTTCACTTTATAATATAAAGCTTTGCCTATTTTGAGTCTTTCCTATAATCTAAGACTTGATATACTTTAAAATTCTTGCCCAAACACGTGAGCAATATAACTTTCTTGATGTCAATCTAAAGGTATCCTTTAACACCACAGTAATTGGTTGACAGTAACGGAAGATTGAGAATGGATTATTATTATTATGAAATAGCTTATTACTATTTCCACATATAATTTTTTATTATAGTGTATCCTTTATCATCTTTACTGACAGTCATGGATGATGAGTCTAATCATCAGGAGAAAAAACATACCTTTGTTATTAGTGACTCAGATAAATATTATTTATGTTTAAGCAGAGCTGTGAAATATCTATACATTTTAAGATCTAGGTGTCAACTGCAAAACATTAAAGTTTGAAATAAATTGTTAAATACATTAAGTGCTTTCTGGTGTAGGAATATTTACATACATACATTAGTATGATGGGTAGTATTTCAAATTACATATCCAAATTAATAAAGGATTGCCAATAAGTATGCTGGAGATGGCATTTAAATTATCCAGCTGTTCTAGATCTGTGATTCTTTACTTATATAGGCGATCTTTTGTTTGCATTATAATATTTCTATTATGATATTTGCCACTCAACTGAATAAAACACTTCCATGGAAAGACTAAGCTTATGAAGAATTTTCTTTTTTGATTTCTCCCATTCTTCCAAACTATTTTGAAAATTTGCATCATGGTGTTTTGGGTAACAAATTTCACCTACAGTAAGCAAACACCGAAACTGAAATGAATTAGTGTTGAGTGAAATATCCAATATGGGGATACGTGAGTGAAATGGAAGTAGGGCAGCCATGGTATTTAGATGCACCTTGAAATGGTTGTGGTCATTCATGAAACCATGGAGAAGACTGGGCTCATTCTGTGCTACAGCCAGGGGGCTACAAGCTAGAGTGGTCCAACCATGCGCCTGCTGCTTAAAGGCGTCTCTAGCTGTGGGGGCTGCTGGCCCCATTGCTGATCTAATGAACCAGCACTAATTTTCACTCGTATTTCTGGATCTTTTCCCCACAACAAACTATTAACACTTCTATTTAGTGTTCGTTAGTGATCCCTCAGTGCTTTTGCACACCTGCACGCAGGAGAATTTTCTGTAACTTCCCTATGTTTCAGTTGTATACTGTGATTTCAGTCACAGTACTTTTTATTAGGGCTATTTGTCTTTCTGTCAGTTGTAAAAGAAGATCAAGAATTCTCTTAACTGAAAATCCTTGTTTAAGGCGACTTTATTTTTACTCTGTCCCTCACCCCATACTGTTTGTTTCTGGATTTGTACCATGTTCGTAATTATGAACTAAAGCCAAGGACAAAACAAGAGCTTCTTTGAGTGAACCTGCTGCCTTACTATGCTGAAAGCTGGGTATTTTTACAAAGTTCATTACCCAGGCAGGGTGATCACCTGGGAGGGGAATCGTTTCCATCGTAAAATCTGCTAAATAGGTTACACCATTCCTTATGAGCTTAGAGTGCTCTATTTGTGGGATACTGTCAAATGAGAAAGTGGAGAGATTGAAAATAAATGAGTAGAAGAAATGATCCCTGGGCAAGAAAATGAGGAATCATCAATATATGTCAACAAATTTATAGTCAATCCAACCAAGTATACCAGGTGATTGAAAGCCGGGATATATAACCACTTCTAGTAATGCAATAGACATATTTTAGAAATGAAATTTAAGTATATTAAGAAAAGTAGAGGCACAGAAATATAATATTCCAACCGAATATGTGTATGGACCATAGTATTTGTAATCCTGATGTTTATGCATAGGTATTCATACAATAACAAAGCATTTAAACATTTAAAATTATGTAAATGATACTCTGGAAGTCTGTATGATATGCTCCCTCCAGTGGCTGATGATTTAGACATCAACTTCTCTGTCCTCTGTATGAAAAACTGATTTAATGCAAGGGTCGTGCTCTCTCTTCTAAGAGGGGGAGTGATAGTGGTAGAAACTCTTCCTATCTTTGTTTAAAATCCTTGACTAGTTTTCTGTTTACATGTTTATAAATGGTTTGTTCTAAAAGATATCCTGATCCTCTGAAGAAATGATTTCTGGTATAATATGAGTTACTTCAGCAGAGCTGATCGGGCTGCATGCCCATTGCTAGTCAACACTCCAGTGAAGATGTACAGAAGCTGAGTGCTCTAAAGCATAGATATACACATTGTTTCTATCCTGGTGCTTACAGGGAAAGAGACGGGAGGCAGAGACAGAGGGAATGGCAATTACCATTACTATGGCCTTACCTTACCGTAAGTCAAGTAAGGTAAGCGGGCAGAAAGGGGCAGAGCCAGGCACAGCATTTTAGAAACCAAATCAATACAGCTGAGGGCAAGTTGTGTGTGTAGGTGTGCATGTTTACTGTTACTCTTGCTTTTTTCTCCCCCAAAAGCTTGAAATAAGATGTTATTAAATGAATCTACCAAAACAACACATTATAGATCAAAGTAGAACTATGGCAGTGTAAAATTGGACTAAACCTATCCATATATCTGAAAAAAGAACATGTAGTTTTGGGCAAAGGTTACAGCTAAGAAAAAGAAGCTTCTGAAAGTTAAGTCAAATCATATATTCAAGCATTCTCAGGGTGCCCTGAGAAGCCAACTTGAACAAGAAAACCCAGTCTCAGTTACAGAGATGGATGCCCTAGACTATCAGTGTCTGATGCTATTAAACCATTTATTTTGTTCTCATGCTCTGTTCTCTAAATAGTCTTAAAATAATTTGACTTCTATGTAGCCTACAAGTTGGGAATGGCTTTGATGGTACCATTTGAATATCTTATTAGTTTGATAGTTATATATTTTGTTTGAGTGAATTAATTGATCCTGAATTCCTGTGCACATTTTGGGACACAAGTCAGCTTCTTCTGGCCACTCAGTTCTGAGGTTTTGTAAAATCAAGTTTCTACATCTATAGGCTATTGGACTGGACCCTATCCATTGTGCACTGTAGTCTGGGAGGCCTTTTGAGGACAGGTCAGATGATATTTCGCTGGATATACCCTTACTTTGCTTTATTCTAGCCTTTCTTTAGAATATATACAAATCTCTTAGGTCACTGATTCTGCAGTAGGGGTCTGGTTCTGTGTAAGAATTTCAGGGTAAGTTGGAAAGATCCTAAACTAGAGGTAACATTAAGAATGTAGTAGCATTTTAGGGAAGCAGATTTCTACTGTACATTTTTAAGCAAGTAGAGGTGTTCAATAGGGGAATGAGTTGCATAGTGAAGTAGTGAATTTCTGGTGGAATTGAAAAGGAGCTGTGCTGATATTTCTCAGGGATGTTGTAGAGTATTACCATGTCATAGATTAGGTTCTAGGTTCTTTGAACTCTAAGAGTAATATTTATTTCTATTACTAATACAGTAAGTTCCCAGTAAATACGTACTAATATTTATTGTAAAATATTATTTTTTATATTCTGGGAAAATAAAGTACAGAATAGGTTTGCTATTTAGACATTGTAAACAAAGGAAATAACATTGTCTTTATTATGGAAACATTTTACTTTTTCAAAGCCTGTAAAATATCTTCAATGTTGACTATGTCTATAATTCAGACATTCTTGCATGAAGTGATCTTCATTATGTATTGTCTTCCTTGTGGGAAACAATACATTTGTGGCTCTAAATTCAATTGTTAACATTATGCTTTAACATCACAAATTATCTTGACAAGGCCATGCATGTGAATGGTGCAGTTAGGTTTATTATCTTTTCAACTATCTTTTCCTGTGGGCACACGAAACATATCATGTTTTCCCAGTAAGCTTAACTTTTTCAATTTGAATACATTTATATAACACTTATATTTTCATATTTAATAACAGTACAAGGAAACTAAAATATTTGTATACTTGCATACCTATTGTGATTACTGGATTTTACCCTTTCCCTACTTACTGCTATATCCCCAAAGCAATTTGAAAATAATTTTATTTAACCAACTAGGAAAAGGAAAACGATCTTTCTTTCTATTATATTTATATTGTGCCTGGGACAGAAACACATTTTGAATTTAGAAGTAAAATCATAATTGTCCCTGTTGTTGACTAGAGTTGGTTTCAA